AAAGAAAAGAAAAGAAAAGAAAAGAAAAGAAAAGAAAAGAAAAGAAAAGAAAAGAAAAGAAAAGAAAGAAACATCAAGCATCAAGATGTCAGGTGTTTCCATGACAGTGATCATTTAGGGATCACTCCTGTTTCATCACCGAGGTGCTAGAGAGGTAGGATGTTAGAGGAAATAAGCACTGGGATTGGCAGATGAATCAAAAACAACCAGGGGAAATGAAAGATGAAGAGGCCCAAAAGAGAAATCTGCAGAACTCTGTTGAAATTTGGTTTCATTTGCCATTTCCAAGATGAAGCCATAGTCAAGATGGATGGATGGAAGGAAGGAAGGACAAAAGGGAGGGAGGGAGGGGGGGAGGGGGGGAGGGAGAGTACACACACACTCTATTTCATAATTAATATTGCTTTTAGCCTGAGCAGAACTGGATTACTTTTGAACTTTGCTTTGTCAAGTCCACAGATTATTAGACTTTTTTATCAGTCAAAATCAATTAACAGAAATTGGATTTCAATCGACAGGATAAAAAGAAGGTAATCTTCAGGTTCATTTTTGATTGTGATGATACATCTCACATATGGCCTTAAGTACAGAAAACAGTCCTCGGAGGGACTCCAGCAGAAAGAGACTCGCCGGAGGCAAACTAACCACACGCGTCTCTCTGATTGGTTCCCGGCGTCATTAGTGCCACTGCTGTTTAGGAACTACACATAGACAGGACATGGTGACAGCTAAGACTTTAAAGCCTATGTATTTTTCAAACAGCTTTTCAAACTGTTTTTCATGACAGAATTTTTTCAGCTCTATCATTAACTGCTGACAAGCTGACAGAATAAATACTCCAGCCTTTAAGAAGCCACCTAACGATGGGTCCCCTCCCCCGCCTCGTGCTTGCCTTGCCGGGGGAGGGGAGGCGCTGGGCCCAGGCCGGGCGGGGAGGGGGCCCTGAGGGGAGGAGAGGAACTGGCAGGGGTGCCCCGCGTGGGCCCTCGTGGCCCCTCTTCTTACCTCATCAGCTTGGGTGAGGAGCTCGGCGAGTTCCGCATGCCTCCGTTCCGCTGCTTTTTTTTGGGGGACAGTGTTGATGGCTGCTCATCTTCAACTGGAAAGACAGGCAGCTCATGAGATTATGAACAGTTGGAGGGCAGACTGAGAGATACAGGCAAGATATCAAAGGACACACACTCACGGCTCAGTCACTCACTAGGAACTCATGACTGTCTTTTAGGACCCAGTGACAAAGACCAAATGTGTTAGTCAAAGAGGCCGGCTTAGAAAAGGTGAAATCATCACCTCTTAGCACTCCAGCTTTTGAACATGCACTTGAAACAGACTACACCAGTTTGTAAGCACCCTGCCATAAGAGAGAAAAGAAATCATGATTTATCCGTATATAAAAAATATTCACATATATATATTATATATATATGTGGGAACACTCAATCATTATTCTTAGAGTTAATTTCAGTTACTTCGCTGAGTAATCAAATGGGTTTTTCCAAAACCACAATCAGAAATAAAGTTGTATGGGCAATGGCAGCAGAAGAGCAGCCAGCCAGTTGATCCTACAAACGAACCAACTTAGCTGGTGCCTAATCCCTGCACGCCAGAGCAAGAGCCTTGGAGAGAGGCAAGGAACCGAGGCCTTGACAGCCAATGTTTCAATCAGTCAGGACTGGGAACATTGGTGCCTGCTGGCTCAAGGATCCCCACCCCATCTCAGCTCTGTCCCTGCTGCTCCCTAGAGGGAGAGCATGTGGGGGCGTGCACATGGGATCCTTTCTCCACTCATTAAGACTGGACTGTGAGGTTGGAGAACCAGGCCGGAGAAGAGCACCCGAATGAAGGAGGAGGTTGCCACTGAGTGATATCTCTGATGATGTGGTAGGGGGCAAGGAGGGAGGGCAGCAGAGGGCGTTGGAAACCAAAGGCTGTTTTCCAAATGTCTAAACCACACAGATTGCTAAGCAATGTGAAGGTTCGCTCACAAACAACACAGCACACTCTACTGCTTTTGCCCAAAGACACCCACTAATAAGCTTTATAGATGTATTAGCTTGCATCATGCTTCTTTTTAAGAGAGCTGCTTGATAATTAGCAAATGCGCACCCAGCCTGTCACCCAAGGGCATCAGCAGCAAAACTCTAGCCCTCCTCTACCCACCCCCACAATTCAGGCTAAAGCTGTAATGTCAAGAAGGAAAAATATAGGATCCTTGGATTCTTAGAGTTGACTGCAACACAGACTGGGAGGAAGCACCCTTGAAACCCGGAATGCACGGCAGTTACCTTAAAGCTAAGAAGAGAAATATTAGCAGTGATGACATCAAAAGAAGCTTGACATATGTTAATGGTGTAAGTCTTATTCGGCGGGGGCGGGGGGGTGCGGGGAGGAATGTCATCTCAGCTACTTGACATTGCCCGGGAAGACCCATATCCATATTGGGACATGCATTATATGATACTTCCCTGAAAACCCTAAATAAATTTAGTATGTTACGATACATGGTTCGCAGGGATTCTAATAATCCAACTATCTTCCAAGCCTGCTTCAAAGTACCCCACTTGGTACATTCCCCTATTCCACTGTTAGTCTGGGCTTGTCTATATTCTGGCTGACACATGGAAAGGGAACAAGAATGCAGTGAGGTGAGAGTGATTCCAGAAGCAGCGGAGACAAGAAAGCACCTACCAATGCCCACAGCCCACTCACTCTACCAGCTACTCTCCGGCCCCATCCCCCCTGAGGCCCAGGCTCAGGCTATGACCCTATCAGTCACTTAGGGCTCCAGGCAGGAACTATGTGGCTGGGAGGATATCACATCTTATCAGAAATGAGTATCCACAGCAAATCACACAGAGACTAAACAGCACTTAAAAGATTAAAGGAAATAAATACAAGCCACATAAATGGTATTGAAAAAAATCACTTAGAGTTGATATGCATCTCTCGGCAAGCAAACAGGCACTCTGAGCTTGACCTGAATTCATCTTCCTTTCGCAGGATAGGGGGCCGGGCATCCCAGGTTAATAATGGGGTAGAAAGGCAGTGAGTGAAAGAGAAAGGGAGAGAGAGAGAAAGACAGAGAGAAAGAGAGAGAGAGAGAGAGAGAGAGAGAGAAAGGTGTGTGTGTATAAGTATACTTCTGCATTTTCCCCATCTAAGGATGGGGTAGAAAGTTTTGCACTGATTCCACCCATAATACAAGTTCACCTTTTCATATGGACCACTTGCAATTGCTGTATTGTGTTCAGGGTGACCTCAATTGGTTGTCACATGACAGACTGGATAACATGTGTGCCTATGAGTGGGTCTAGCTGGGGTGAAAAGTTCTCTATCACACGGGCCTTCTTATGGTTAGAGTGACATACCCAGAAAGGTCTTTTACCCAACCTAGGCTACTATGACTAGCTTTATGCAAGGCCACCAGATGTTGCCATGGTTTTGTCCAATTTATTCAGTGAGTCCATTTCAGTAAGGTCCTGAAGAGAAGCCCCACTCACTGGCAGTTCTATTGGAGTCTTTTGCTTAACTATTGTCTCCCCATTTGCACTGGACCTATAATAAATAACTCTCTTTGGTTAAGTTCCCATTATCCTTGCACCTTGTCACTGTTTGTTTACATGCAGTGATCTTCACGTGGAAGATGTGTAAGTTAATACCTGTTACCCAGCTCCAGGGAGACACTTTGTTCTAGTGCTAAAGTTATGCCTCCTTCTATGCAAGGAAACTATTTATTTTCATTGCAACTCAGAAAGATCATCCATCATAATCATACTGCATTTAAACTGGGATTTGTTCTCTTAAATGAAACTCATGTTCACAGGTTTCCTCCTGCACTCACAGGCCTGGAAACGCAGATACGTTCCCTGAAGAAATGGGTGGAAAAAAATGTCTTCAGCTTAAATATATGAATGTTGTGTAATGGAGACCATTACATATGGCTTAGATCCCACGAGAGAAGCAGTGATAACTTCTCTCTCATAAGTAGGTTATAAACCATATTTAATTATTATCCTTTATAGGGATTCTATCAATTTCTGCATATTTAAAGAAAACAGATCTAGAAAAACTTTTAGTTAAGCTATAAAATATAATTTTCATCTCATGACTTCTGTGACTATATGTAAGGAATAAAAATAGAATTAAAAGGGAGACTGAAATTTACTTACTTTCATGAGAGACAAATGTATTGAGGTAATTGGCCACTACCTCATGCCAATGCACATTTATGGGCTCCTACTTAGTCTGTTTTTTGGCTAATTATCATACACCCCTGTCTCTGGCATTTTCACTCGCATCATGCTGTGGAAGCACATGAAGATACGATCTTTGAAAGGAACCTGACTTACTGGCTTCTTTAAAACACAAACAAGTTCAGGAATCCAATGTGGAATTTTTATAGGAGCTGAACTCCATCCAGTCTCCAAGTGCTCATAAAATTCAAGGGCTTGTTTTTGCACATCCCTAAGTATAACACTTAATGTGCTGTTGTAACTTCCCAGCGCTCACTTGTCTAATAGGCTCTGAATCTAACAGTTTTACAGTTGGGGAAGACTCAGTGCTAGAAAAATGTCAGGCAAGTCTAATTAGGCTTCAGATCCCTTGGTTTGCGCTAGAGTTTAATTTAAAGTTACAATGATGTTTTAACATGTTTGCTTATACTTGACTAAAGAGGATTCATTATTTCAATGACATAACCTCCAGACAATGTTCTGGGAATTGATTTAAGATGTGGTGGTAATTCCAACAGCCTTAATGCAGAGTCGAACATCTGTAACAACATTTTACTCGACTTTTCATCGGCATTCTGTTTTCAAGCAAAAGCAAGGCAACATCCTCCAGAAACACTGGCCAGAGCTCTGGGCTTATTTCAAGATGATCACATATTTCACTGGATTTTTTTTTTTTTAAAGAAATCCCTTTCTTTATTGGCCTCGCCAGCTTGCAAACACCATGTCAGGGTTACCAATGCCTCTTTGGGGGCCTTTTGAGTAAAATGGGGCAAGGATTCCAACTTTCAGCTTTTCTAAACAGCCTAATGCTGACATGTGATGGATCCAGAGCTCAGGTCCAGCCTGGGACACATTCCCTCTTCCCCTTCCCCGTTTCTGCCACAGGGTTTGGGGGGATGACGCCCTTTGACACTTAAAGGTGAATTTGTTGGCCGGAGTTAAAAAAACACTTCAAAGGAAATAACCTCAGAAATGCAATAAAAGGCAAACAAACCATAAACATGAATCGACCGGCTATCTCCATTACATTATGAATCACCACATCTGGAGAAACCCACATCTGCACACACTTAGCAGGTCATTAGTAATGTCATATTCACACTGGAATCACTCAGAGTGAGCGGCATGCAAAGTGGCTTGAACGCAAAGGCATCTAGCTAACAGGGCTTCCGACGAAGGTCTTGAGCAAGCTGCTAGACTGGAGGCAGGGTCGTTATAATTGTTATTTCTTGTCTGCTATGGCTTTTCTCTTTGGTATTTTGCTGCCCAACAAGCTGAATGCATGCTGAAATCGACAACAGTACATCTGTCTTCTTCAACCGAGCTCAGCATGTTAAGATAGAACGCTGAAGCGTGCGGTTATTAAAAGAGGGGTGGGCTCCCCAACTCCTTCACCTGGCTCGGCCACAAGCCGAGGATTGTGAGTTGTGTCCTTGGACTCAAATGGGTCTTTGGGATAGCGTGATCTAGCTGCAACCTTGACTGCCAAACATTAACAAGAAAAGAAAATGGAAATGAATCCTTTGCGAAGTTTTTCATTAGGGAAGTTCCAAACGAGTTTTATCACCGAATAGAATTATAGCTTTCCATGAAAAGGGGAGTTTCTTCCTCACAGCTCAACTGCGGTTTTCTTTTACCCTGATGGCTTCTTGAAATTCTTTTTGCTGTGTTTTTGTCATCAATGTCAGAAGGGACAGTATGTCAGAAAACAATCTTGTTTGTGCAGTAATTTCCAAAAACCTACAGAGTACCCTTCTCCCTATGACATACACGGACACCGAAAACTCAGTTTAGCAGCAAGACCAGACCAATTATTTCCTGAAGTCTGCTAGGATGCATCCTACTGAATAATCATTATATTCCAAGT